TTGATCAAATTATTCGAAATTTTCTCTTCGAAATAAGAAATTGTTTGTCAATGTTTGAGTCGGAAAAAATATTTAACAATTGATTCAATTATAACTGCCAAATGGAATGTTATAAATTTTAAGCTAAAAGTAAATAAAAGTTCTTTCTATAATTTTGTTAAGATTGAATTATGAAATTTGCTAGGCACTACGTTCTTTTTTTTTCAAAGAAGCTTAGCTTTTTCTCTTTATCAATTTAATCATGATTTCCTTGCTAGTTTGCTCTTCTATTTGCAAGTGTTATTTGACGTTTTTCCGGAATAACTATCGGTCAAGCTTTTGAAATTTATAAATAAAAAATAAAAATATATAAATTTTTATAAAATTATATATACATATATATATGTATACATATATATATATATATATATGTATACATATATATATATAATGCACATATGTATCTGTTTATCAGATATCTATCACTTTATCAACCATCTGTTTGTCAGTAGATTTGTGTGCCGCGAATATTGCTGGCCACTTTTTAATCTTCGAAAATGTTAGCCTTTTTTTTCCGTTTTCCCTTTTTATTTTGGTGCTGGAAATATTGGCATTGTTAGCGGCATTTGCTAAAACGGAAGACATAAAAAATTTCCCATTTCCATCGTCAAAATTCCTTTGTTGACAATTTATGGACTGCTAAATTGAAGAGAAAGAGATCGGTTAGCAGATTTGAGCATGAGCTTAAGTTCATACTGTAATTTTTTTTTCCGATTTATAAAGTTGCCAGTTACATTGTTTTCAAATTGCTTAGCATTATATGATGTCTATACATTTTATTTTGATCAAATTGGCTTGTGTTATGGAAATTTAAAAACTCGAAATTTGTAATTTCTGTGGTATAAAAATCATTATAATATTAGGTTAATCAATTTAACTTCTCCATTAGACAAGGCCTTTTTTTTGATTGCTTCTGCATTGGCGTATTTGTAACGATTAGATGGCAATTTATTGAAATTTAATGATTCATTAAATGAAATAAATAAATGACAAATGATGAACAGGCTTGCAAAATATACTTTTCAATTTTAGAGAAATTTCTTACATTTCTCAAAACATCGGAGTTAGTAATTTGAGCAAAATATAAGTTGTTTAGATGTTGTCAAACTAATCGCAAAAGAAATCAGTCTTTATTTCAACGAGTTGACTGGAAGAAATATTTGATGATGTCATAACTTTGGTTTTTGCCGACCAATCAATTTTATATCTTGCATTTTTACCAATTCTAGCAATTAGTTTACAATAAATTTATGGGAAAAATTCAAGTTGCACTGATACAAACTGAAAAATCGTTAGTTTGTATCCCTCAAGTAGAAATCATTTTCATTAATTGAAATACTAATAATTATGTGTGAAATTGCTGTCCGACGTTTACATTATAGTGTAACTCCCTTCAGTATTAACATCCTAAAACGATGAAAGCAATCAAGCGAAAAAAGAGTAGGGAAAAGGGAGGTAAAAAAAAGAAGCATGAAAATTGAAGCAAATTTTTGTTTTATTTCTGAATCACAAATATTAGAAAAATATCGATTCATATTCCAGAACTATTAATAAGTTATATTGATGAAGAATTTCCTGCTAGCATTGAAAAAGTAAAGTTTATTTTGAAGAAATTTGGAATAGAAAAAGAACAAAAAATATTTCTCATCATTATTGAAAATTAGAATTTGAAATAGCACATGATGCATTTTGGTACTTAAGATAAAATTCCACAACAAAAAATTTTATTCTAATTAAACAAGAAGGATGGTAATGAAACAAACGGTATTTTCTGGAATAATTGATGATTAAACACCATTTTAAATTTTTTTATTTTAAAACGTTTTAAAAGGATGAAAAATTTTTGCAGAAAAAAAGTCGTCAAGAAAGTTCCGGTGAAGGTAGTGGTGTGGAAATTATTACTAATAAACCATACAATGATGGTCCAGGTGGATCTGGTCAATACACATTCAAAATTTATCATATCGGCAATAAAATTCCGGGTATTTTGTATTTCAATTGATAAATTCCGCAAAAAAAAAAAAAAGAAGTGATATAGCATGACAGCAGTGTACCTCTGTTGTGAACTTTAAGAAATTGTGCTTTCTTTAATTGTTATTGTTTTACTGATAACCTGGTGCTCAAGACATAGTATTATTCATCCATGAATGATATTGTAAGTCTTGTAGTATCCAGTTATCAGTATCAGTAGAAATTATCAGGATGAAAGAAGAACAAATTAGTTCAGTAACAACGTGAGATGCATCATAGCTTCAGTAATTCTCATTTTATACCGATTTTTCAAATCGTATAAGAAGTTATCTAAGAAGTTATTTTGAAGAATCCTCAGAACAGTTCTTCTGGAAAACGCGAGTTAAACTAATTAATTTAATGGATGTAGAGATTTTTTTCTTATTTTTTTCACCAAGAATTACTGTCATTTTTAATTACCTTTTTCCCTTTAAGATATCAAGAAATGATAGAAAATTAGATCAAAATATGGTCAAACAAATTGTTCATGCTACTTTTTTTTTTGTTTCCGATGTTTTGCTTTTCCTTTTTTTTTCTTTTTTTTTCAAATTAAATAAAGATAAATTAGTTAGTGTCTTATTTCAAAAGCGAAAAAACAGTAGATTGATCAAACAACTGAATGATTAAGTGGTGAATTTTCCATATACATGAGATGGTAAAATTAAGTGAAATATTACATCAATGCTATTCAAATTATAAAGAAATATAAAATGAATTCCATTCAAACATTCCCTCTTCCTATTTTTTTGAACGAAGTATGATTGTATATTGAAGATCATAATAGTAGCATAAAGCTGATCAAATACGAAACATTTATGTTGTATATCATTTAATGAGAGTGATTTTGATAAAATTGATTTAAATACTAAAAGGATTTTTTTTTTTTGGGAAGAAAATTCTGGTATTTAGCAAGATATGCTGGTGGAAATATTTGAACCATTGGATAAAAAAACAATCGATTTTGTACGTGAGCTAATTTACTAAATCATTTTCGTTTTTTCTTTTTTTGAAGTATGGTTACGCAGCGTATTACCAACAAATGCATTGAAAGCACATGAAGAAGCTTGGAATGCGTATCCTCATACGAAAACACGTTATTCATCTCCATTTTTGGATCGTTTCAATATTGAAGTGGAAACGAAGTATTACAATGATGCTGGTAATCAAGAAAATGTTTTCGAGCTTACCGATGATGAATTGAAAAATCGAATTGTTGGCAAGTTTTCCGGAAAACAGTATTTTTAAAAATTTTCAAAGAAACACGGAATTTCAATTTAAAAAGATGGTTGTGTCAGTTAAAATATTTATCCATAAGCATTCTTTCAAGGCATTTTGATTTATGAAATCAGTTTTAAATGTAAATTTCATCATAACTAGAGAAGGAAGGTTGAAAAATGTAAGTTCCAATTTTCTAGATGTAATGGATTTTGTGAATGATCCGTTAACATCGTATGATTATGTTCCTGAGGAAGATCCGAAATTATATCGTAGTATAAAGACTGGTCGTGGGCCGCTTAAAGAAGATTGGATTGAGGATTGTATTAAAAATGGAAAACCTATTATGTGTGCTTATAAACTTTGCAAAGTGGGTTGTTCTACCAGATATTCCTCTTTTTTTCCTTTTTTATTGGACATTTCGGGACGTATAGAATTCTGTATGGTTGATGAAAAGAATTTTTTTAGATGGATTCTACAAAAATTTCATGAGGCGAATTTCGGATTTATTCATTAGGAAATCTTTCAGGTTGAATTTCGATTTTGGGGCTTACAAACTCGCGCGGAACGTTGGATACATAGTCATGCTTTGCGTAATACAATGCTAAGAGCCCATAAACAAGCATGGGCATGGCAGGATGAATGGCACGATCTTACGCTTGAGGATGTACGAGAACTGGAGCGAGATGTAATGATCTTTTTCAATGATTTCAATACTGAATAGAATTCTTACATCAGTGTAGTTTATTAGTCCATGGATTAGCCACTTATCATATTGAGAATATATGCTATGGAAAGAGAAGAGTGAAGGTATCCACTATCCACTGAATCCACTGAATTCTAAAATATCGATTAAAAATTTAATCAAAAGCTAATTTTACGAGATGGTTTGATGTTATAGTATCATCAGTCCTCTTTTGGGATTAACCTTTTTTAAAGGATTCCGAATGCCGCTGTGCTATTTACTGGACGAAGCAATTTATTTATTTGCTGGAAGAATATTAAGAATTTATGAGTAATTTTTGTCCATTTTTTCAAGGAAAAAAATTGACGTTTTTATCCATCTTTTCAGGCAGCGGAACATTTGTCTAAGTTGATGTCACGCTCATCTATTTCTACTTCTTCCTCGATTTATTTCGATTGTGTAGAAGGTGATCCGATCATGGAAGATTCTCAGTCACTGATAAAGTGGAGTTCGGAGATATCGCTTATTAGTGGTCATGAAACATTGTCATTACCACGAATTGAGCAAGATCTGAAGGTGGCTGCTAACACCACATCTAATGCTTCTTTGCTTATAATCATCTTCTACGATGATATTTTTTCAGATGTGAGTTTCTTGATTAAGATTTTTAATTTTATTAATTTTTAAGTGGAAAATAACTTAATTTTCTGTTCGTTAGTTAAAAATTATTCATCTTTTGCTTAATGCTGTTTGATAGGCATAAAGAAAACTTAAATTTAAATGTGATTTTAGACAACGATTATGCATTCACCTGATTTAATTTTATCCATAGTCTAGTTTCTTCGTGTATCAGAGATGAATGAATTAGATTAGGAATGAGACTGCAAGATTGATAATGTCCTTTTGCTTCACCAATACGGATTGTACATACTCACTAGTTCAAACATTTCTACTATGTCAGTCAGCATTATAATTAATCCCTGCAAAAACCTCTTGCTGGCACTGTTCTATAAGATAACCGATCATTTAGAAGATGTTGCATGCATTTTTTTGCTTTTGTTTTAACAATGTTAAGGTTGACAATTCGTTAAGGCGCAGCTGTCGTGAATTTTTAATTATTCAAAAAGATGCCATCATAAAGCTTTGTCTTCCACTGTCTTCGAGGAAGCAAAAGACTGAATAATAATAACTCATCATTTATATGAAATAAATTGTACGCAATAAGAAACTGTATGAAATAGAAATGATGAATACTGAAGTATTGAAACCAAGATAAATTAAGTAAGTTTTATAGAAGTACTATTACTACAATGTACCATATAGACCAGAGTTGGTTTGAAATGATCATAGATCGCATCTCATGGTAATATATGACTCTATATGCTCTGAGATTGGAAAAAAAATTTGTGTGTACAAATGATAATTCTGAAATCCAAAGAAATAAGGAAAAAAAAGAAAAGGGATTTAACGTTAAATAATTATTATTCTCAAAATTTAATGACTTTAATGATTACTGTATGATTGGTTTTGAACTAATTAAAGTATTGTCATCTTTTATGGATAGCATAAAAAGATGATACTTTTATGATGTAGAATTAAGTATAGACATTATTGCTTGTTTTTATTAGGTTTCAACGGATCAGAATGTATCAGATCCAAATTCTTTACGTTTAACGATAGAAAAACAGATCTCAGCGGATTATGAGCATCTCAAAGGGCATGTTCACTTTTTACAAGTATCATGTGGTCAAGAATTCGCCGATACAGCCTTACATTTGATCTCAATTACGCCTACATATGGTCTCGTTCATCCATCACTGGCATTACTTCTTTCTTCATCGCAATATTATTTTGAGGTTTGTTGCTTGATTAGATGGTATAATAAGAATGTGGTATCTGTGGTATCTCTTATCAAAATACATAACATAATCATGTATATGTTTGTTTAAGGTATACATAATCTTTACGAAAAAAAAAACTTATATTGGAAATGAAGTTAAATAAATTTAACGACATATATATAAATATATATTGTTTAATTACTTATGAATAATAGAAGTGATCGTTTATATACACTTGAAAATGTACAAATAATGAGACAATTTTTCATATTTTTGAAGCTGGAGTTTTAGAATATATTCCCTTTGTCACTGCTGGTGGCTTTTTTATTGTTTTGGGACTTCGTTATTGTAGAAACATAAATGATATCATATTAAATGAGACTGTGATGTTTTTGCGACTAAATTTTAGATTGATTTTTGCATTCAATTGACAAGGAAAGAGATGCATTACTTTTTTTATTCTTGTAAAGACTCGACAAACAAGCCATAATAACGAGATTCTGAAGTTAAAACTATAAATTTTTGATGTAACACATTCTAAACTGCTTTTGCAGCGATACCTAAACACAGGTTTTTTTTTGTATCATTATTTCTTTAAAAGGGAAAAAAGACCTGAAATGAGTGTAGTAATTCTGCACTAATTTAATTTTGAGGAATTTGAACCGAATAATCTGTTAGAAAAAGGGAGGTATCGTTTGGAGTCATTGAGAAGTGAGATAAGAGATTATTTGCTGATAATTCCAAAGCAATGAGTGATAACAGATTTGAAGACTTCAGTGATCAACTAATCCTTCTTATTGATCCATGAAAAACAAGATTATTGTCAATGTTTTTAGCTGAATGAAGTGTTTTCATTCGAATTCAATCAGCATAAGTACAATAAGTTGGAAATTGCTGTAGGAAGATCCCTTTCTACTTAAAGAATCTTAATTAAATTCAATTTCGACAACAAATCCAATACTACTAATAGCATAGATTTTGGTAATTACAGGCATCAGTCCAGACTTGATGATCCATATGAAAGAGCTATTTAAGTAAAGTAGATGATTATTTAATGCACATATATGCCTAGTAGAACTTTTCCAGATAATGATTGTACTATTTGTTTGACACTTTTTGCTGTTCTGAGATTTTCGTTATTACCGTAATATAATGTAAATCATTTTATTATAATGAAAAAGATGCTAAATGATGAAGATTATTGTGAAATGTCTAGCACATTAATGTACAGATGGGATGAAAAAAAGAGAAAAACAGGAAATTTGATAAAAATTTAAAAAATGAGAGTTTGAATTACAGAATAATTTATTAATATTATCTCTTAACACGAATGATATTTTAAATAGTAACGACGAAATTTTGACATCTAATAATGGCATACTTCGGCAACATTTTAACTGTAAATAAATTATTATGAAAATGGATGAAGAAAACCGTTACGTGGAGATTAGAATAATTCTCTTAGCAACCATTCACTTAAAATAAGCCGTAGTTTTACTTAGTACTCTGGACTATTTATAATCAGTGTCACTATATTTTTTTTCACAGTATTTTTGGTAAATGAGTAATTTAGGGAAAATTTAGTGAAAAAATTTAATGACTGAAACATGTTTTAATTTGACTACAGGAAGTTGAACATGTTTTAATTTAATTTGACTACAGGAAGTTGAACATGTTTTAAAACATGTTTTAATTTGACTACAGGAAGTTGATGAAAAAATGAGCTAGCTTAACTTTTGAAAAATGACTTCTATATTAGCTTAATGATAGGATTAATAGCATACTATTTGTGCCTAATTCATGCTTCATTTCAAAATTTAACATTGCTTTCAGGCTGTTCGAAATACACTACATCGTGCTAATGAAGCATACAATCAGTTTATGCATTCCAATGCTGGACAAAATTTTAATGGCGAAATATTTGCTGTGGGTGATTATTTGGGTGGAATTTTGTTGCATGAATGTTTAAAACGTTCCGCAAATTACTGCCATTTACAAGAGTCGCATCAAATTGTTTCACGACATTCCAGTAATCTTTCAACTAAGTCTCATATCATTGCGAACTTGAATAATCAAGAGGTGATTGAACTTTCGTCAATATTTATTATCAATAAGGTTTTATCATATTTTACCAAAAAATATCATATCTAGTTGCATTGTAACAGAGACGGCGACATATCTTGAAAGCTTTAAAAAAAAGCAAAAAAAGAAGTAATGTCTGAATGTTAAAAAAAATAATAATGTCAAAAAATAAATAAATAAATAATGCCGATGAATGCAGTATGAACAGTATATTTGTTGTGAGTGATTATTGATATACAGATCCGTTGATTGGACAAGTATTTCGACGAACATGATTACCTTAAATTTTTTTCAGGAAATATATATTTGTTTTTTAAAAAATCAGATGTCTTGTTTTTTTTTCTTCCGTAATTCCACAATTTACAGTTAGGAGAAAATGCTTCGGCGACAGGTGGAAATAAATTACAGCGAAATTCGTCGGTACCATTGACGATGAAGTTCAGAAGTTGTCCTCGATCAACACCTAGTTCAGAAACTTCTTCAAATGATGTATATTAGTTTGTTTCGATTTAATTTCAAAAACCGACTGCAAAATATTTTTTCTTTCTTTTAAATTCAGAATTTCCTATTAAATCTGTGTTGGATATTTTATTGAATAAGATGGAGAAAGGCAAATGTGACAGAAATAGCAATCATTGGGAATATGTGGGGTAAACATCTGGCGATAGCCATTTTACACTGAAATATTTCTATTACAGACAGTATGGGAATCTCTAGCTTTCCGTCCAAGTATGACATTCCTTCTTGGTTGTCCTTTGGCTTTTATTTTGGTTCATCAAAAATTTCACGGTTATGGTACATGTTTTCCTGTTTTCCACAACATATTTTTTCTAATTTTTATAGCAACTGGGAAATAATTATATTGAAGTTTTAAAAAATTAACTGTTTGCACTAAAAATTGGTTCGACGTTAAAATTTTCTTCGCTTTTAGAAGCTGAACCATTGGAATATAATCAGTTGTTCAATATCTACTATTCGATAGATGCATGTGGTGCTCGACTTGAACCAGTATTAAATCCTCAGCTTGCGATGTTGTTACCTGTAAATGTGCCTCGTTATAGTGATATTACCAATGCTGTTGAAAACAGTGATGGGTAAATGATTGAAATATCTTCAAAAGTGATTATGGGAGAGAAACAACATGAAAATTGGCTAAACTCTTTAATCAATATGCATATTTAGGTGTGAGATTGGGTTATAAATGTTGCAAGTAATAGTCCAGAGCAAAAAAAAAGGCAAAACATGTTAATATATAATAATTCTGTTTTATTGACTTACCTTGAACCTGTTATCGAATATTCCTATAAGAGTGAAATATTCTCGAAAAATTGCGAAAAATTTGAAATTTAGAATATTCCGCTAGTGATATTTTTCCAACGAACAATTCATTTTTAATTCATGTTGTTTTTTTTTTTCTCTCATGTTGAAAATTTATGAGACGACCGAGAAATTTCTGTTTTATAGTATACTTGATTCGTCATTACTTTGGGGTAATCATCGTATCGACCATATATTACACTCTCCGCATGCTATGATTGCCTTGCCTTCATCAGCTCTTCCCAATGTTCTCCACGCTTCATATTGGGAAAGTGATGATGTAGCTGCTTTTATCCTCAAGTTAGTTCATTTTTTTTGATCCCAAAAGAATTCTTGTTAGAAAA